AGGTTTGGGAGGGAATTCAAGAGTTTGATTTTGGACATGTTGGATGTGAAAGTCCCACTAGATGTCTGGGTGAAAAAAAATGAAAGGGGGCAGCTGGATATACCAGCCTGGAGCTCAGGAGAGGTCAAGACTGGAGATAAAAATTCAGGAGTTGGGGCGCCTGGGTGGCGCAGTCGGTTAAGCGTCCGACTTCAGCCAGGTCACGATCTCGCGGTCCGTGAGTTCGAGCCCCGCGTCAGGCTCTGGGCTGATGGCTCAGAGCCTGGAGCCTGTTTCCGATTCTGTGTCTCCCTCTCTCTCTGCCCCTCCCCCGTTCATGCTCTGTCTCTGTCTGTCCCAAAAATAAATAAACGTTGAAAAAAAAAATTAAAATAAATAAATAAATAAATAAATAAAAAAAATTCAGGAGTCAAGAGCACATAGCTGGTACCTAAAGCCACGGGGCTAAGTGAGGTATTTAGAGAGTGGTTGTACATCAAAGAACTTTCCAGGCACTGAGTCCTGGGAATCCCCAACACTGAAGGTCCAGAGGAGGGGCATAGAAGCAGCGGCCAGTGAGGTGGAAGGGAAAGCAGGTCACTATGGGGACCCTTGCCCCTTTCTGCTTGGCAAATTCTTCTCCATGCTTAAGCTCCAGCTAAAACGGCTCCTCCTCTGGGAAGCCCTCCCTGATTGGGCCAGGCAAAGTTAATTACTCCTTTCTCTGCGACAGGCCCTCTTACAGGATTTACGGCAAAGAAAGGTTAACTTGCAAGCTCACCAGCTAGAGTGGCTGGAAAAAGGAGCCGCTATTAGCTCAAACCCAGGGCGTCTGAGAGCAAACCCCAAGCCCTCGTGTGGCCTTAAGGCTGCTTCTTATCTCCTTCCTATGGGGTGCCTGGGGCTGAAGGCGAGCAGGAGGTCAAGAGGACAGAGAAGAAAGAGAAACGCGTTAGCATTTAGGAAAGGTGTCTCCTCCAGACATCTAAGGGAAAGGATCATGAGCCGAGGAGAGAATTAGACACAGAGCTAAAGGAAGATTCAGACCAAGCAACAGGATTGGGAAAGAATGTTTTTGAAAGCTGAGCGGAAAACCTTTCCTCTGCATGTGTTTTTCTGCCACATGAATCATCTACCCCCAGATGGACCTTACTGCTGAAGCCAGAGTCACACTGCTGCCCCCAAGAAGACTCTAATGGGGATGTGTTGTGGCGGCGGAGGTGGGGGGGTGGGTAGCAGTGTGGCTGGGCGATGACGGGGGCCGGGCTGGAATGACAGGGTTGCCGTGTTCCCTAGGCAACAGATTACAGGAAACCTGCCCACAGCCTGAGCTGTGCCAACAGCTGCTCCGGGCCACCACAGTTTCCCAAGTAGTTATTGTGGCTATGATTGGAAAGGGGGCACAATCACATGTTTAAGATAAACGTAATGTGGTTGGCTAGAGTCTATGTCCTGGAATGCTGCAGTGTGGGCCGGGCCCAGGCTACAGGCAAAGGGGGCTTCACGACAAAGAAATAATTTATTATACCTGCACAGCACATTACAGTTTGCAAAGTCCTTTGTACTCTTTATCTCGTGTGGGGCGGACAACAGCACTGTAAGGAGGGTGAGGAAACCGAGGCACAGAGAAGTTAAGTGACTTATGTAAGATCACACAGCAACTCGATAGCAGAACCATACCTTCTCCCTAAATCTCTGGGTTTCAGATCACTTCAGGTATTTGAAACCCAAACTAACAAGTGTTTTACCAAGTGATAAGAATAAAGTAACTAAGAGAGGCCCCCAAGGGAAAAAGAACAGTCTTTTCTCAATCACTGTGAATCTGAAATGCAGGGTAAACCAAATTTCAAACACCTAACACTTTATGCCTTGTCGAAGTTTCTCACCTATAATACTTCACGCTACCCCTAAGAAGGCAGGTGGGGAGGTGAGTGTAGGCGATTCAGACAGGGAGACAGCGGCCCAGGGTGGTGAAGAAGCTTGCCCAAGGTCACATAGCTGGAAAGAGGAAGAGCTTCTCCTTTGGAATGTTACTTCCAGCCCAGGGCTCATCCCCTGGCCCCCAGGTCTGGAAGCATTTAGTGTGGTCAAGCAATGGAAAACAGATATGGGGCCTGTGGTTCCGTTTGTTAGACGTGATCTGTCCAAACCAGTGGCTCCCTCCCTGTCTGCCCTCCAATTCCTCACAGTGTGGGCCCCTGGTTCCACCCCAATGACTGCCCCGTGCGTCCTGTCCACAGCAGGATAGGCAGCGAACAACCACCCTGGCCCCTCCCCGCTGCACGCTCACTGTGCCAGGGCTGTGTGGCTTGGCTGTGCATGCTGGGCCCACATGATACTCCTGGAATAGCTGTCACCGTCAAACAGATGTGACCACATGGTCCCCTGGGATGCCCCCTGGATGCCTCCACGTTGCAACTATCTCCTGCCCCCAATCTTCTCATGGCTTGGGATAAGACGCGTTTTCTCTATTCCTATCTCTAAATCCTGCCCACGTACCCTTTCTAATGCGTTAAGCTGCCTACCGGATGGCTGAGCTGGGCATCCCACCTGGGACCCAAAGCCTGAGGTCCAAGTGCCTAAGGACAGATCTTCAGATGACAGCCATCCCCTCCTGGAACTGATCGCTGCCTGAATTGCCCTCCAAAGGGTCCCACCAGCCTGCCTGGAAACCCTGCTGACCAGTGCCCAGCCCCAGGGGCTCTCTGTTTGGCCTCTCTGTTTGGCACCTGCACCTGGGGACCAGCCCCCTCTCTTGCTATTGAATTAACAGCCCATCCGTTAGAGACGCTGCCCCACCGCGTCTCCTCTCCTTGCTCCACACCACCCGCTGCTCTCCCGCCTTAGACGGAGGACGAGGAACAGCCCAGACAAATAGTGTGTATTTACACTGGCATCTACAGCAATACACAGGAAACAGCCCCAACACCCCACCTCAACATGCAGTGGAAGAGAATGTTGAAAAAGACTGTATACTTTATAGCAGCGTTTTTATAAATCTCAAAACCAAGCAAAATGAAACAATATACTGTTCAGGGATACATTCGTGCATCACAAAAGGATTTTTAAAAACAAGGGGATGATATGCATGAAATTCCGGATAACGTGAGCCCGGGGGTGGGTAGGAAAATGGGATCGGGACAAGCACAGTAGTTGGCAATCTTGAACGGGGCGGGGCGGGGCGGGGCGGGGCGGGGGGTGCGTTTGGGATGATCATTCTGTTGTTCTGCTCCGTAGCTTACACACATGCTCTGTGTATTCTATTTATACGTCGATTGCCACAAGTAATTCTAAAGATTAGATGGACAGGGTCCCAGAGGGTCTTGCTATCTGCTCCCCATTCTGATTTATCTGGTGGTGGGAACCTGTGTGTCTCCTGAGCGCCTGGACTCCAGCTTCCCCGCCACCCACTTCACAGACAGATGCCCTGAGAAAACCCTCTGCTGTCACTCCCACTCCCCGCCCCCACCTGGGCTCAGTCCACCACACCGTGGCCCCTGCCCCGTCACTCCCCTGAAGACCTCGAAGCTCAGTGGGCACTTTCAGTTCTGGTCCCGTGTGACATCTCAGCATTCGCCGCTGCCGTTCCCTGCCCGCTCCTTCTCCAGGCACGCCTTCCTTGGCACTTAGGGTGCTTCCCCTCCTGATATGCCTTCTATGTCTCAAGCCCCTTCTTGTTGACCTCCTTTGCTGGTCCCCCCACCCGAGCCGCCTCTCCCTTGCCTGAATGGTGGTGCCCACAGAGATCTTCTGAGGCCCCACCTCCCTGCAGCCTCACGTGGCCTGAGTCACTGAATGCTGATGACTTCCCAGCCCAGCCCTGGCCTCTCGCTCCTGAACTCCAGGCCCAAATGTCCGACTGTCCACTCAACCTCTCCACTTGGATGTCACACGGGCACTTCAAGGGCATGGTCAAGTCCAACTCCTGACCTTCCCCACACAAGCCCGGTCCCCTTCCTGAGGTTTGTATCCATCCATCCGAGTGCCTGAGCTCCTGGGAGTCCGTGTTGGCTCTCCGCTGCTCCCTCACCACCACACTCCCCCCACCCCATCTCCAGCCCAGCCCTTCCACTTCCAGAATGGCTCTCAGACCTATTCTCTCCACCCACACCGAGACCTTCCTCATCCTAGTGAACACCACCTCTTGCTTGTATGAAAGCCATCGGTTCCTCAGCCTCTGCTCCCAGCCTTGCCCAATCCACTCTCCCCTCTGCCTTTGGTTTCTTCTTTGTAACGTGCGAACCTGAGCATGCCAGTCCCCGCGACCACCCTCTGGGGGACCCCTCAGCCTTCCGCGACTCGGCCACTACCGACCTGCCCGGCCTCCTCTTCCCTCGTCTCCCTCCAAGCTCTGCCTCAAACCCCACCCGCCAACCACACTGAACCTCTTTCAGTTCCTTGAATTGCCTGGTTGCCCCCGGAACACCGTCTCCCCCAGCCCAATCCAGAAATCTCCCGCTCCATCCAATTTCCGCTCCTGCAAAGCCTTCCCAGACCACCCTCACTCTCACCTAGAGGACGTTAGATGGCCCCACAATGTCACGGTGCCCAGTACATTTCTTACTCTACTCTAGCACTTTATACCAGGTGCTTCGTAAACCATGTGTCTCTCATATTAGTAAATTCTATGCCTCGGCCAGTGGAGACCTGACTTACTGTCTCCCCAGTGCCTGCAACAGGGCCTGGCCCCTACTAAGCAGGTGGTAAAACATGCTAGAAGGGAGAATGAATAAATGAACGGCAAGCACTGTGCTTTATGTATGTTATTTCATTTAATTCTTACAAGACTCCTTTAAGGGAGGTAGTCTCGTCTTACAGGTGACAGAAGGGAAATAACTTGCCTCAAGTCACACAGCTGGCAAATAGAAAGTTGGACCCAGGTTTAACCCCAAAGACCACACCAGCACCCACCCCTGCCGGCCTCTGGCCATGCCGCCCCACCCCTCATCTCGCAGGAAGCTGGGAGCCCTCCAAAGGCCCCATCAAGGTTGGGAACTCAGGTGGAGACAGGCGAGGGTTACCTGGAAGCATGTGGGCCCCGGCCTCCCTGCAGGGATGTCCGACTGGTAGAAAACCTTGAGCTCTGGAGTCAGGGCAATGACAGTCTTAATCACCAAGGAGATGATATCAGACCAGACCTTCTTGATGTCAACACCTTTGGAAGACAACCTACAAAGAATGCTAGAAAAAGTCCGTTTGCTGCCCGTGCTAGTACTGTCCGAATGGACAAAGTTACCACTATGGATGTTCAGCGAGTAGTTGGTTAAGTGCATAAAGATGTGGTGCAGATTTTTGGGGTTGGGCTCCTGATATGGCTCCGTGCAAAATCTAGAGAGTCCGTCTTTGGCTATATAAATCTCTAAGGGGTCTAAGGACTTGAGTAAGACATACAGACGAATATCAAACTTGAGTTTGTCGATAAGAAGAGGTTTGCAGATGTACTCCTGGACCACCGCTGGCCTGCTCTGAAGGGTCCCTGCCAGGCGGATGTCACTGGGGTCTTTAATGAGGTAGATTCCATCACCCTGACAACCACCATCGGGTTTCACAATAAAAGTGGGCTTCCAGGATGGGTCACCGTCTTTCACCATTCGAACCTGGTGGGGGAAAAAAGAGTGGCTGCATTATATTCTGGACCCCCAAGTCAGAGCAAGACCTCAGCAAATGTTTCGTGAATGAGTGACAAAGTGAGCCCTGCCTCTGTGAGCATTCACTGAGCACCAGGGAGATAATACTGAACTAGGTACCAAGATAGTGACCTAAGGACTGCCCTCGGCCTTGTCCTCAAGAAGGGGGACTGAGAGTCAGGCAGATCTGAAGTCACAGGAGCTAGGTTCAAATCCAGGGTCTTTGTCAGTTATGGAGTCTAACCCCAGACAAGTCATTTAACTCATGGTTCTATGATGATGGTAAGGAGGAAAAGGAAGATGACGAGGAGGAGGAGGAGAAGGAGGAGGATGGCTAACACCATTTATGAGTGCCTATTACGTGCCAGATAACTCCACTAGGCACTGCACATTAGTTACCGAGTTTACCCCTTACAGAGAATAGGATTCTCTTTTTACAACATAGGAAGCAGAGAGGGCACAGCAGTTGTTAAGAGTGTGGGCACTGGAATCTGACTGCCTGGGCTCGATCATGGCCCTGCTGCTTACTGCGTGACCTTGGGCGAGTTACTTAAGTTCTCTGTGACTCCCTCAGTCTGTAACATAGCAGTAAGATTGCACTGAAGAATAAATGAGATAATGAACGCAAAGGTCTAAGCACACCGAACCTGACTCGTGAAAGGCAGCCACGAAGCCTAGCTATTCCTAACTGTTAAGGATGAAGTGATTTGTCAGCTGAGGGGTAGAAGTGGGATTGGAATCTCGATCAAGGACTCTACAGCACCTGCACCTTCCTCTACCCTGCCATGTCTCTGTTTCTTCCTCTTCAAAATGGAGATCTACAAACCTACCCTCACTGGCTCGCGGTAAAGAAATAAACTAAAATGTGCAAAGGGCCGAGCCTAAGACCGAACAGGGAGCTCGTGCGGGGAAATGTTCATGCCATCATTTATATCTATTACTCAGTTCATCTGGTAGACTGGGCCCATCCTCCTCCAGTCTGTGGAGATCTTTTTTTTTATTTATTTATTTTTTTTATTTTCTTTTTTTCAACGTTTACTTATTTTTAGAACAGAGAGAGACAGAGCATGAACGGGGGAGGGGTAGAGAGAGGGAGACACAGAATCGGAAACAGGCTCCAGGCTCTGAGCCATCAGCCTAGGGGCCGACGCGGGGCTCGAACTCACGGAGCGCGAGATCGTGACCTGGCTGAAGTCGGACGCTCAACCGACTGCGCCACCCAGGCGCCCCTGTGGAGATCTTTTTGAAACTAGATTCTGCCATCCATAATGTCTGCTGTCTTCCCATCTCCAGGTCAGCAGGACATTCACATAATTATCCAGGGCACTTGACCAGTCCAGACAGTCAGTCTGGATCTGCAGGTCTGCATAATTCATATGCACCCAATTCCCCCGGACACTTGTCAGGTCCTCTGTGCAGCTGTGGACTGAATGGCGCGCTGGGGGAGGGGAGCTGGAGGAAACGCGGGGGTGGATGTGAAGGGGGCAGCCGGTCTCTCTGCAGCCTGTGATGTGCCGGGCCCCAGAGCAGGCCTTCCATTCTGAACTCTGTAACTCAGAGCCGAGCCTGGGGGGGCCGAGGAGGTGGCGGGCCCCAGCACTGGGCTCGCCCCAGCCCTCCACCTTTGCTGTGTAAGCTCAGCCCAGGACATCTGCACTCTGGGTTGTACTTATCTCTCTGGCCAGCCTATATTTCTAAGTGAAGCTTTTGCCAATTCCTTGGGCACTATCGGTTACTCCGGGCTTGTAAAAGATCTTTAACAATGGAGAAACACTTAAAACCTTAATAATGGTCCACATCAATTGTTTCCCCTTGTCAGCAAGATTCGAGAATGGAAGTTCATGAGAGATCAATGCAAGCCTCCCAGGGCCCTCCACTGAGCCTTTCTTGCAACTGTGACCTTGACGTTTATGTAGTTATTTAATATTCATCCAAAGCATTCATACATTTGGCCCTTCACAGTAAATATAAGCAAGCTGGAGAAATGGCAGTTATGGATCAGGAAGTGAAAAATGTCAAGTTTGCAGCGATGGATAATTTTTCCCTCTGGAAAGCTTTTACTATGCCAAAGATACTAACAGTTCAATATATTATCGGGAGCAATATTTTCTCCTTTGAATTCAGTGTATATGCCTTAAATAAATTAAACTACGTGGTCAATAGTCTCTGTCATTCATTGCATTACTGAATATTTCTTCTGCTCTTTGCCAGAATAGGACCATACAAATCATGATTATTAATACTAATGGGATCATTGAAATTTTAGAACTGGAAGGATCCTCAGAGATCAATGCCATCCAGTCCTCCCATAATTCAAACTGGGAAGCTGACCTACCTGGCTGGTGGGATGGTTCCGAGGAGATGGAGGCTGTCTGACCTCACCTCAGGTTCTCTATGCCAATTTACCTCTACAACATAAAATTAAAGGCCTCTTTCTCCCGAATACTATAGGGAAGGTTCTCTTCATGTGGCAGACAGTTGGGATCCGAACTCTGGCTGTACAATAAGGGGGCTGGCCCCCGAGCACGGCCTTCTTGGAGCTGTAACCACAGATGCTGAGTTTGCCAGGACTTCCCCAGTTCCAGAGCTTCTCTCAGGTTCCTAGCTTCTTACGATAGAGGCACAGTCTATGGGAAAGCCTCATAGCTCTTCCAAGTGGGGTTCCCATAGCCACCAGATCCTTCAGTGACTTCTATTTTTAAAAGGGAAAGAGATTTTCCAAAATTCATATTCACTCTCCTCCGAGGTTTTACTCAAGGGTGGCCCTTTCCCTCCAGTTATTAGAGTCAAGCGCTAATGCACTGGTTCTTAGTGAACTCGAGGACCGGAATAAAAATACAGTCTATAACTAGGCCTCAGCCCGAGAGAGAGTCTGATTTAATAGATCTGGGATGAGACCTGGGCATGTGTATTTTGGAAAAACATGACGAGTGATTCTGATGTTCCCTTAGCTTGAGAATCGCTGAACCAATGTGAATTAAAGAAAAATACAATCTGGGACCAACCTAGAGAATGAAGTTTTCTGCATTGATGTTAGCCTGAACGCGAGGAAGACCGGCACGTAGGCTACAGCTGATGGTATCTCCAGTTTTACCCAGGGCTGCTGTTGGACGTGAAATCCATTATCTTGTAACTATGCATGGGTGGTTGAAAGAGATGCAAACAGGATGTGGTGGCCTGACCGCTTGCTACTCATCCGGCCTAAGGGAAAATTTATGTGTCTTTTACTGCCCCCTAGTGGATATCTGAGAAATGTGACTGGGAAAAGACCCCAGTTCAAAATTCTGACTTTTAGCAGTAACCCGCTCTACTAATAATGGTCTTAAGGAAGCACCACCACAAAGAGCTCCCTCAGTAGACTGTTACGGTAAGATCATACTCGGAATGAACTCCTCTCTGAAAGACTAGGGCTGGCCAAGGTCATATTCCGTGTTCACGCTCTCGGTTCCTTAAATACATTCCACGTTGTTCTCCCTACCACATAGATGGGACTATCTGTCAAAATTCTCTCTCAGGATGTATAAAACTTTTAAAATTATGGGCCGCATGAATATAACGTCCTGTAAATATATATCACCAAAAAAAAAAAAAAATCCATGACTTCTATACTCTTCATTGTGCCTTTTTGTATTTTCCAAACTTTCCGTTAGGAAAAAAGAAAAAAAACAGAGGAGTGTGGCAAGGGTGGGCAGCATCAAGGGTCTCTAAATGTAAATGTACAAGGAATACTTCTCGGTGAACCGATATTTGTATATCCGTGTTCGTATCAGCATGACTCATAATAGCCAAACCTGAGTGTCCATCAACAGATGAGGGGATGGACAAATTGTGCTATTCCCGTCCAATAGGAGATCATTCAGCCATAAAAAGGAAGGAAATTCTGACACCTACTACAACATGGATGAACCCTGACATTATGCTCAGGGAGATAAGCCATCACACAAAAGGACAAACACTGAACGGTCACCCTTACATAAAGTACCTAGAGGAGTCAGAATTCATAGATACAGAGTAGAGTGGTTACCAGAGACTGAGGGGAGGGAGAAGTAGAGAGTTAGTGTTCGGTGGGCACAGAGTTTCAGTGTGCGGAGAGGAAAAGGGTTCTGGAGACGATGCTACTCAACTATACGCTTAAAAATGGTGAAGATGGTAAATTTTATGTTACGCATATTTTACTGCAATGTTTTTGTTTTTAATTTTTTTAACGTGTATTTATTTTTGACACAGAGAGAGACAGAGCATGAGCAGGGGAGGAGCAGAGAGAGGGAGACACAGAATCCGAAGCAGGCTCCCGGTTCCGAGCTGTCAGCACAGAGCCCGATGCGGGGCTCGAACTCACGAACCAGGAGATCAAGACCTGAGCCAAAGTCGGACGCTCAACCGACTGAGCCACCCAGGCACCTTAGTTTTTTTAAGTTTAAAAAAAAAATTTTTTTTTCAACGTTTATTTATTTTTGGGACAGAGAGAGACAGAGCATGAATGGGGGAGGAGCAGAGAGAGAGGGAGACACAGAATCGGAAACAGGCTCCAGGCTCTGAGCCATCAGCCCAGAGCCCGACGCGGGGCTCGAACTCACGGACCGCGAGATCGTGACCTGGCTGAAGTAGGACGCTTAACCGACTGCGCCACCCAGGCGCCCCTAAAAATTTTTAATAAAAACACGCAAATAAATAGCTTTTTGGTGAGTTAGGAAGAAAACTGAAATAAAAAAAAAAAAAAAGCAGAAAATCTGATTTCTAGCCCCAATTTAGTCAGGTCATTTCTGATGGTGTGACCTTGAGACAGTCACCTAACCTCCTGGGCTTTGTTGTATTCACCTATAAAATAAAGAGGTCACACTAAGGTCCCTGGCTTCTGCCATCTAACAGGTTCTGAACATTGATTTATCTTGATATCACCGGAGTTGAAGGCTGTGTTACAAACACACAAGGGACATTCATCAGCGGACAGTTTATGCTGTGCCACCGTG